AGCCAGCCATGCTGGCTGGGGAATTCTGGGAGTTGAAGTCCACTCATCTTAAAACGGCCAAGTTTGGACAACACTGCTTTAGCCGTTCTTCACAGGATTTAGCCTCCAGACCCCTAATTGTCTTTGTTGCTCTTCTCTGCACTCTGTCTAGGGCCTCAGCGTCTTTTTTGAATGGTGGTGACCAGAACTGGGCACAGTATTCCAAATGTGGCCTCACCAGTGCAGTGTAGAGAGGCACTATCACTTCCCTTGCTCTTGATACTATCCCTCGGTTGACGCAGACCAGGACTGTGTTGGCTTTTTTGGCAGCTGCAGCACAGCTGCTGGCCCTTACTTAAGCGGTGGTCCACCAGGACACCTAGACCCCTCTCACAGGCACTACTGTTGGCTGGAAAATGGGTGTTGGGTAGGTACGAAGATCCGACGTGAGGGTCTCCAAATAACACGCAGGGCGAGAGAAATCCAAACCAACTCGTTTATTATTGCAGCAATAAAGGAGGACGCATCCAATTGTCACTACGCAGGGAGCACGCTCAATGCTTGTCCCATTAGCCTTTTTATACAATATTCAGACAGGGAGAAAGAATACAATTGGTCAAAATTTGAAACAAATTGCACATGCGTGTAACACCTTGCCTATCCCATAATATGAAAGTGGGGGTGCAATTATAATATAATTATTATTTTTTTTAATGAATTTTTATTGAAGTTCCAGGTACATAATTAAAAAACAGAAGCAAAAAGAAAATAGAGATACAACGTTAAGAAACACACAGATATGATCGATCAATAGAACAAAAAAGGTACACAAAACAAATAACTTCCAATCTATCTCTAGCCTTGAAAACTTAAAAATTTACTCTAAATGCTAGTTTTTTCATATAATATATAAAGACAATTCTTTGCTTACAATTATAATATAATTATGATATCACAGGAGGTGTGGTTTTAGGGTCCTTTCGTCATAAGGTCACACTAGTTCACCAGTCTACCTGCAGAACTGGCCTTGTCTGGTTCTAACCATTAGCCCTGGGTTTCTCTCAGTTTCATAACCCGCTTTTCTGCCCAGCCACAGCCGATATAGGTCATGCTACTTTTGAGCCAGGTACAGCCTGTCCTGCACCTGTGCACGTGGTTTTTCTTGCCTAAGTGCAGGACCTTTTCTCTCCACTGAGTTGCATCTTGTCAGATAGGGCCCAGGCTCAAGTCTGTCATGATCCTTCTGAATCTTGAACTGAATAAACTGAATTGAACTGAATAAACTGGATTGGATTAAAATACTCTTGCAATCCTAGGAATATTGGTTTGGAAACAAACCTTACTGAACCTACCCCAAGGTATAAAATGAATTTTAAAAGAATGTTGTATGTACCTTATCAATCAACTATTTGTGCAACCAGTGTAACATAGCTAACTTCTAAATTCATCTACATTTTCTAAATAATCTGGGCTTCAAAAGCATGCCATTCATTATTAAATTATAGAATATAAGAGTGATGGTGGAGTAAAATTAAAGGCCTCTTTAGTCTAACAGCACTTAGCTTCCTGCAGTTGCTAATCAGATGTCTCTAACAACAACAACCTGGATATGATTATTTTATTTATTTATATTTATTTATATTTCAAATTTAGATACCGCCCATCTCACAAAAAAGTGACTC